CCATGTAATCCGAACTGCAGAGCATTCCTCCTCATCCCAGCCATGGGTACAAAAAGTATTGGTACATGTACTCGGTCTGCATCCCTAGTTATTTTATTTTAGTGATGAATAATGCATTTTTATACAGAAAATGGTGTTATTTAAGAACTTCAAGAATAAACTGGGCACATGGGAAACTACTCAAATACATAAGCCGAGCACACCTTGTCTGTGTGTACATAAGCTGCTTCTTGTTTGGCTATTCCAGAGGGTCATATTTGTCTTTAGTATTATAATAACCTTCGCCACAAATGATTTGGCAACTAATTAACCAAGTGGCCCAGTTCATCATTGTACTTCCTTACAGCTTCAAAATAAAGGTCCTTTTTTCTTTGACACTTGTCTCATCTGAAAATCTGAGTGTTTTGTAACTGATTTCATGTGCCCTGTAATTGTACTCTAATGGTTTATTTATTTTACTATAGTTGGCCTTTGAAATAGAGGTCATAGGTAGACCATGCATGATTGCTTCTACATTTGTTTGGCAATAAAGGAAATAAAGAATATTTTGTTTTAACTGTCGGTGCCTGTGATCCACCAGGCATGGAGGGGGAAGGGGTACAAAATGATATATGTGGCTTCTGGGGCTGCCATTTGGTGTGTGTGTGTGTGTGTGTGTGTGTGTGTGTGTGTGTAATTATTTGATGATCGTTTCCTGTAATATTCAAACATTGTGGTGATCAGTGCTGATTACTACGATGTTTGTAAATAGCTGAGGACATAGTATTCAAATACTGTGTCCCCAATTATGAATGAACAGGAAGTGTTCTACATCACTTCCTGTTCATTCTTGATTGTGGACATAGTATATGTTTACTATCCCCTCGGCCTGACAAATTCTGGTGCAGTAGGTGCCATTCATTTCAGTAGCACCCCAAACGCTCCTTCCCACAGTGCGATCGTCCACACCCAAATGTGCGATGCCGTGTGTTGCGGTGCGATTGCAAAACATTGTGCATGCAGTTTTGTTCTGAAGCAAACTTTGTAACACTCCATTTTTTAGTTTTTTAATTTAAGGATGGTCTTCTTTTTTTTTTCTGATTTAATCTAAAAAATAATCAGCCAACTAATACTTGCAGCCCTTCTTGCTGGAAATATTTAGATTTTGTTGATTTACTAAGTTGCACTTTACCTTTTTTTTTTTTTTTTTTTTTTTTTTTTTTTTTTTTTTTT